ACATTTCTCCTTTACAAGTAGTAATTCAAATACAAATGTCCGCAAAGCAATTTTCGTCGTGTCCGGTTCGGCTATTCGGTTACCGAGTTGGAAAAATAAAATAAAATAAGTACCAGACTAAGCGGAATTGTTAAATAAAAAAAAGGCGGAGAAGTTCCACTCGAATTGTAGAGCTATAATAAAATTTACGATCTGGCAAAATTTCAAAAGGACAAAAATATATTTTTTTTTATTTTGTTAGAAAATGTTTTATTTTAGAACGTCAAAACCTTGATGAGGGCGTCGCGATTAGGCAATTTAGGTACCCTCGAGCTTCTGTTCGAAAATAGCACCGGCAGCCCGTATATATACGTGCAGCATAATTGTGTATAAATAACGTGTAGAATATAGGCCGTTTCGATGTGTGAAACGCGCTCTCGAGACGAAAACAGTAAATAGCGTGCATGCAGCAGCGGTAATGAAAAATCAATAATTGTAATAAATAAGATCGATTTCAGAGCAATTGCATTACATAATATTATAAGAACATTTGCGATGGGAAATTATTTGTAAAACAATAACAGAGGGCGATATATTCACGACTGTATTAGCACCGCGTGATGTTTGGCACGGTAGTATCACACATACTGGACCTTAAAAGATTCACCGATTTGAAGGGCGTTTGGATATAATCCAGTTGGACCGACGTTTTATTGTATTTTATTTTCTCACGACCGTTTTGGCCGGTAAGTCAGCTTTTTTTCTTGAATTGCGACCATCACAGGTAAACGTCTGCAGTGAAGTTAGACCACGTGGCTTTATTTTTTCCGACATTTATATATATACACAGTCAACATCGCAGATAATCGTTTAGTAGTTTATGGTTTTATAGAATATTTTATTTGTGTTCAAATTTGGGCTGATACATTCAAACTATATTTTTGGTCTTGTTTATTGTTATACACGGCTTAGTGATTTTTATTTTTATTTTATTTCATATACATATTATGAGTACTGGGCCCCATTGTGAGAATTCGTGTGGAAGCCTACAATTTTAAAATATATAAGTACATAAAAATAACACGTAGGTACATAAAAAAAGTTCAAACAAAAATTAGGTTACACTAATTACAATTAAATAGGTAAATACTGTTAGGAGACTCTAATAGCCATTTCAGAATGCTTTTTTTTAAATTCATTTGTTAGGAGGTTTATTATATGGGATGGTGTTTTGTTATACAATCAGGTATCGATTATTTCACATTATCTACTAAATATGGTTTTTTTCGTTCTTTTAATGAACAAATTTTTTTTTGCGTATCTTGTGTTGACTTCGTGCATTATCGGTCGTAATGTAATATGACTTTTTAAAAATATTTTGTTAACCGGAAGCATATTTAGTTGCTACAATTTTTTGTTGGGTACATCCGTTCTTTATTGAGTAGTAATTATCTAATAATTTGTGACAAATTTGTAGCTGAGATGAATAGTGATTAAAGACTATAACTTTATTTATTTATTATATTCAGATCGTAGGGTAAAGGTGTATGAGGAAGATATGACGATTTAAATGTGGACATTGAAATTATTATATTTGAGTAATTGAACATGTCAGGTTTCCTTGATACACCTTGTTTAGTAATATAGTATAAGTGTATACATAATTGCGACGATGTACCTACGCGTGATCCAATTTTAACCTATAGTTGTTTTTTGCGTATATTATACATTTATATTTTTGTGACCATTAAATACAAAATAACGATTTTAGCTTTTACCTATTCTATGCTGGTATATCATAGGTATAAATTCAGTTCTATACGGCTCAAATGAATTATATCGCTTTATATATATGGTTCGAAGGGCTATAATATAATATATAGAGGGGTTGATAAGTATCAGAAGTTTTATCTATATTATATATAAACGAGGACTGTTTCCTAATGGAGTGGACTTCTTGAAATTACCTGCAGGGATGTAGACGTATAAAGAAAAGTCCTTTAAAAAGCCCAAGGCAATTTTTTTTTTAGTTACATGATGCCATTTTAAAGCCCCGGATGGCGGATAGCAACAAAATTGAAAACAACACAGATATGTAATTATATAATATATATATAATAAGGAAAAATTAGCCTTTATACTATCTTTTGCAGTTTGTTGTTTATTTTACATATTAAATAGAAAATAATTTTCATTACGCGTTAAATAACTATATAATATGGTTAAAATTTAATTTATAGTTTGAAATTGAAAGCAAATACCTTTTTTAAATCAAACAGAAAGATAATCTTCATAAAGATGTATTTGATTTAATATTAATTTAAACTGAATAAACTTCATTCTGCCATTTTTTTTGCTTTTCCCGCTACTTTTATAAACATTATCTTAAGCTTTTTTCTCTTCGTGATACATTCTTTAATGTAATTACGAGTATTTACAGTGGTACAAATCGAAAAGAGCTTACGAAGACGACGTGTTGTCGATGGTAATATATATTATGTTTATAATAATAAGCTAGAAAGTACCTTTAATATAACAGTAGTGTGTTATCGTTGCACCGATAAATAGGAACTACGAGGTGGTTCTTGAAAGATAACTTTTGATGTACTAGAATATTTTAAAAACATTTTCTAAAGACAGACTATAGTGTATCTAAATATTTTATTATTTTCAAAAAAAATTTGGTTTTTTATTTAGCTATTTAAAGACTTTTTAAATTTTCTACTTTTTTGATTTATATTGATTACATTTTTGTTTCTTGGCAAAAAAAGCTAGAAAATACTCGTATAATATAAGGTTCCTTGAAAGTTGTTCTTTTAGCACTTATACATACACGGTAAAATAAATATAACAGTGTATATTTTAATATACGAGGGCAGTATAAGTGGTATAGTAATATATTAGTAAATTGGTATGCCACAATTATTGTGAAATCGCGTGTAGCCACGGACCGCATAAATAGTATGTATAGTATATATATGTGTCATTATAATGTATAGGTAGGTACTTACTAGAAACGTACTCGACCGTTGCGAGTTGCGAACTATATTACAATATTATATCGTTCATCCCGAGTTCTGATCACCCTGCACTACTCCACCACACGATCACTTTCAGAATCACCGTGGCTGTAAATTGATAAAAAGGATCCTTTACTATATACATACGACTTGTACACGGGGGCCCGAATGACATTAGCATTCCGGTCGGGCGAGACTTAATCAAAGGAAGATGCCTATATTACTCACATATATAATATGGGTAGTGTATATAATTATTATAGAGAATCAGTTGCTCGTTCCGCTGGGACCGCTCAGGTCATGCCCCTCTATGGTTAAATGCTATATACCTTTACGTCGGTTGATAGTAGACGCTCGCGCGCATGTATAGTTGGACAAGAGCTGATACAATAACAATATATTAATAACGGTCGCGATAACGGAAGAGTAGGAGGTAGGTAAGTTCTCTCGAGAGATCGCATTTGCAGACAAAATTATTGTAAATTGATATGCGTAACCCATTCGGCGGCCCTAGTATTCGGCATCTTGTACACATCTCTGTATAATTCAATTATTATCGCCGTTATCCGGATTACACTGCTGGGGTCCGCGGCGTTTCCAGAGGGCTCTGACATAAGTGATGCAACGTGCATTATTGTACATAAACTCACACAACATACATGCTAGCTTTTCGAGGCACTCGTTTTTGAGTATTAAACCAAGACGATTGCGCAATCAACGCGATGAATGATGACGAATGTAAAAGCACATCTCAGATCATATTATTTATTATTGTCACAAGAATTATGATTGTGTAATTGAACTACATCTGAGCAATTTCATTATATTCGTGGTATGGTATGTTAAGTATAAATATGTGATTAAATTTGAATAAGTTTTGTTTTTGATAATATTATACGCTCTATAAATATAAATTATGCGTAGGTATGTGTATTTTTAATTTTACTGAAATCTACTGCAGTAGTACATATATTTTTATAAGTAGGTACTTAGTGCCTTTTCATTTTTATTTGTTTAGATTATGTATTAGCCATTAGGTATTTTAATGTTTATTATTTTCGGAGAATGCAGTATTCTTTAAACTTAAATAGGGTTTTTAAGATTAAACTTCATTTGTTTCTCTCGTACTGTGATACATTATTATTACTACTTAAGTAACTAAAAACCAATACATATTTGAGATATATTAATTTCAATAGTATTTCTTATAGTTGTATACTATATATCTGTGTATAAATTATAAGTATTATAAATATTTTTCGATTTAATAAAATAATAAATATTATATTCCTACTTTCGAGTTATTTTCATACTACAAAGACCGCCACCTATGTACATAATAATAATAATGAGATATATATATATATAATATACGTTTATTATTATACATGTATTAAGAATGTGTTTGTCGGTTGGAGGACTAGAGGCGAGACTCATCTGGTTATTTTTGTATCATAGAAGAAATAATATTTTACCAGTTCATATTTCATAGGAACCTCTGCTGCGGCTCGGATGTATTGACTTGCCACGTACGCTGCAGATTTATAGGGCTCGTTTTACGCTTAAAATAGACGGGCATGCACGGGACACGGCAGTGGCTTATAATAGGCCTTCGGTTCAACAGACGGCATTGTTTTACCAACACTGTTACAAAGCTCAACACGAGTATATTATATATTATAATGATAGGTGTTGTAGACTTGTAGACACCGTGTCGAAATAGATTCCATTCATGTTACAATAACAAAATGTGGAAAGTTTACACAAAATTTGCCATTCTATACACTGCAGGGGTCTCAAACTCAAATTACCTACGGGCCATATATATTTACTTCACAGGTTTGCGGGCCAAACACTTTTTTTTACTCAGTTTAATAATAAATCTAAAATAAACAAAATAAATTAAGGAAAGATGTAATTATTTTATTGATTATAATTCTAACAAAGATGTACATTGTACAGTGTCTTGATTTTTTGTTTAGTAGTAATAATAGTTTCTTTTTATTTTCGAGCTGCACTTGATACTTGACATCTCTTATTTTGTACCAAACTGTCTATATTTGCACAAGAACTTCTGGATGCCAAATGTAGAACAGATTGCAATTTTAAATTGGAAATTTGATTGCGGCTTTTTGATTTATTCAACTTCATGAGGGAAAATAATTGTTCACATACATACGTGCTACCAAACATGGATAATATGTAACAAAAATGTTTTTGCAGTTTTGGATAATTGTTTTCAAGGTATTTAAACAATTCAGGAATTCCAACAGTTTCAAATTTTGTTTTTAAATTAGTATTACATTGCAAATCTATTAATTCTAGTTGGAGATCTTCCCTTACATTTTCAACATTTATGGAAAATGGCTCACTAAAAAGTAAAAAATCGTCTTTATACTTTTGGAAATCTACAAATCTACACTGAAATTCGTCTTTTAGAAATAAAATATGTGAAATAAATTTTTTTCCATCATTATTTTCTGTAGATACCTGTTTTAATGTAGGAAAGTGTACCAAATTATTTGATACAAGTTGAGTTTCCCATAATTTAAGTTTCATAGTAAATGATTGAATCGAATCGCACATATTTGTGATAACTTTATTTTTTCCTTGTAATTGTACGTTAAGAACATTTAGGTGTGTAGTAATATCAACAAGGAAAGCTAAATCTTTAATCCAATCAATATTATTCAGTTCCGAAACAATTTTATTTTTAGATATCATAAAACAATTAATTTCTTTTAATAAATTGAAAAATCTTTGTAGCACTGCTCCACGACTAAGCCATCTCACTTCACTATGATATATCAAACAACCATACTGAGCATCCATTTCCTCAAGTAGTGCACTAAATTGTCTATTATTCAATGCATGAGATCTAATCCAATTAACAGTTTTAATGACTATATTCATAACATGTTCCATTTTCAATTTTTTCGAACATAAGGATTCTTGGTGAATGATGCAGTGAAAACTTTTCAATTCTACACCATAAGTCAAGGCTTTTGATTTTAGTCTAGAAACCAATCCCGCTTTTACACCTAACATTGCGGGAGCACCATCAGTAGTTATACTTGAAAATGTTTTCCAATCTACTTCTAATTCATTAAGACATTTCTCCACACAATTATATAAATCACTTCCTGTTGTAGTGTCAGTCATAGGAATTAAATCTAAGAGCTCTTCTGTTACATCAAAATTATCAAAAACTCCACGGATAAAAATAGCCAACTGTGCTGTATTTGTAATATCGGTACTTTCATCAATAGCAATAGAAAAATTTAAAAAATTCTTACTTTTTTCATGTAATTGTTGTTTAACATTACTTGCCATTTCTTCAATTCTTTGAGCAATAGTATTTCCACTTAAACTTATATTTAAAAATGCTTGTTTTTTTTCGGGACATATAACTTCCACCGCACTAACAATACACTCTTTAATGAACTCGCCATCACTAAACGGTTTTGAAGCACGAGCAATTTTTTCTGCTATGATATAACTACATTTAACTGATTCGATATTTTCTTTTCTTATATTATCAAACAATTTTGTTTGATGTAAAAGACTTTTTTTTAATTCTTCAAATTTTTCTTCACGTAACTTTCCAACAAATTTATCGTAAATCTTACCATGATTAGTGTCGTAATGTCTTTTAATGTTATACTCTTTGATGACTGATACACTTTGTTTACATATTAAACATATAGGAACAGAATTACAACTGGTAAAAAAATATGCATAGCCCCATTTTTCTTGAAAAATACGTCCTTCTTGACCGATTTTACGTTTAACACTTGACATTTTATTGAACGAGTAGCGCACACAAACTACATTCACGAACTGAGTATAATAAGAACCCGTACCTACACGTAATACACGTTAAATAATAACACTTATCTTAATAGATTATTTTTATCGCATTGTGCTTATCATGATCGAATTAAATTATTTTGGGAAATTCCTATTACGAATGTATAAAACAAAAAAATCAAACAATTTTTGAAGAAATAAATATTTATTGCGGGCCACATCAAAAGGGGTTGCGGGCCGCATGTGGCCCGCGGGCCGCGTGTTTGAGACCACTGCTATACAGTAATTAAAAATGTTTTACTGGAGGGGATATGCTTTTTTATAACCATTGAGTTTAAATGACAAAAAATTTTGAAAATGTTATCCTTATCATGTATGGTAAATGATAACATTAATATTTGGTGAAAATGTTTCATTAGTCTTAGTTTGGTAAGCCATAGAAAAAAATGTCGTTATCAATTTGATGTTTTTCGTGTGAAATTTCTACAACAGATGAATTAAAATTCATGATTTGAAAAAAAGGCCATGATGGTGGGATATATCCCCTTTATCTCCCCTCCGTAATTACGCCCCTGGTTCTATTTATAGTTATTTATATTTATTAAATGATAATTTACTGCAGGATATCGAATTAAAATTATTATAATAATAAAAAATAAATAAATAGCAGCGATAATTTTTTAATTTATTATTTTACGGACGGACCATTATTCTCATATTATTTTTTTTACAGTAAATTCTGACGTTGAATTGTCTCATGTACCTAATACTGCAGTATGAAAAACCATACTATTTTCAAACACATATGTAGACGTAAACATTGAGTATTACCATGTGTTATCCAAACAATAATTAGACACGTTTTATTTATAGTACTAATAATAATACTGTATAATATTATAGTATAATATGGTGTGGCAGACTGGCAAATATAAAATCGAATGCACGTGTAAGGTGTATTGTTGTTCAATATCACATCGTATTTCTGTATATTGTATAAGTTTCTAATACCAATACATATATAATATGCATTTAGAAAAAAAACGATTCGATCCTATTTGGTGTAATATTATTAATTTTGATAAATGAAATTAAAATATGATTTTACATAAAACATGAGATTATATACTTCAAAAACGGAAACAAGTCATAATTATTTTATAATATACAGGAACATGTATCCAGAATAACTTACGTTGAAGAAAATAATATTACAATTATTAGGTACGTACAACTGTAGCTGTATCGATTTTTTTTTTGCGGACTTCCATTATTGAATTATAATATCTAAGTTGAAGCATATCACTGCTATAATATGTGTTGTAAATTATGTAGTGATGTATGTTTTGTTATGCGCCACTTTGATCAACAGATTTTTGTGTTAGAAAAATGTGTTTCATTCGTTTTGTGCCGGAGAACTGCAGCGGCATCAGCAACTATCCGATCGATTTGTTTCGATAATATCATCGTAAAAATAAGTCAGTCGGAGGGTTAACAAGCTTGGGGGAGGTGGAAAAAAAAGGGCAATTAATCTAAGGGGATGTCTGGTTTTTGTATGTGTACGATTGCAAAGGATTTAAGCGTTAGTCTCCGCAGGATTTAAAAGAACCGGCATGACGGACTCATTAATTCTGGTTGTCAGCGACGCGCCGAAGAAACACTATACCACAGTCGTTGCAGAATAGTTACAAATCTACTAGTAAATGGCGGATAAATGACTGGCGATTTTTCGAATAAGACTCGTATATATGTATACGCACACGCACGAGACCGTTAATATCAAAGAAGGATCTGTGCATCATAGTATTATAGCATATATATTTGCAAGGATATATACATTGTGCATATGAGTAAGCCGACATCGATTTTTTCAGACAATTTTTTGAAAACCACTGCAGTGAGTGCAGTATCAGCAGCGCATCGGTCGCGTTCGACTGCATCTTTATGAGCCCTAGTTGTATCCTCTCTAGAGTCATATATAATACATATATATATATATATTGTACTGCACCCTTGAATGCATTTTGCATATTAACAATTGTTCGTCTGAATTTTTTTATTTTAAATAATTTCACTCGTTGCTGCAGACGATGTCACTGCAGAATATAAATTAATACTATATATTCATTTATATGTGTATGTATGAATTCTGTATGCAAACGATGTATATACTGTATATAATGGTGGACGCATTAAAAATGACTTTATCTGCAGATACAACAAAAATATATACTTTACAGTTTTAAAATATTTTAAAATATTTTCAATTTTATTCTTTCCTCAGGCCATTGTTGTCAATCGTTTTTTTTTTGTTCGTATATAAGTTCACTATACACGAATCATTTTTAAATCAAAAAGAAAAAGTTTATTAAAATATACTAAATAAAAATACTATATCTATAATAGACTATAGTATATAGTATACATCAATTATATATGTATATTGTATAGACGTAACTATATGCTAAACTGTTTTCTTATTTGTAATCATTTATAGTATGAGTACCTACACGAAGTGTAACAGCTCTGAAACACAACACTGTATTTTTTTATAATATCAATGTTAATCACTTTTTATATTTAAGTATAATTTTAATTTATATTGTCATCTACTAAATTCTAATTGTTTTCTCGTTCAAGCACTATATAAGGGCTTCTGTAGCTGTAATTCGTATGCTCGTTTTCGCGTCAGTACGTTCGGTTGCTATTAAGACCCATAACAACGGTATTACGTTGAACACGATTTTCCCGTATAATGTTTACCATTTATAGGATCGAAGGGACCACTGGAGCGCAAGAGGACGCGAGGGTAGAAAAGTGAAAAGTGAGTCGGCGGACGTGGGTGTGGGAAATCAGTGTGATGGCTGGGGGTGAAAGTATGGGTGGCGAAATAAAACCGCTGCGTTGACCGAAATTTATTGCTGCGTTTTTCAAACCAAAGTTTAGGCACTTAAAAAATATTGAAAAAAAATATAAAACATCCGACCTAAATACAATAAATTAAATAAATTTAAAAAAAACCCCAATAGAGGGAAACGCCACGATGGTTCCCGCGGCATAAGTTTACGCGACCAATAAATTAAAAAAATTAAAATTAATTTCAGGAGGAGAAAAAAACAAAAAGAAAAAAAAACAATGAGCTATTATTGTGAAACGTCGAAACCGTTTTGTCTGTCGCCACCGCCGCCGCCGCCGCCGCCGCCGTTGGTGCAGGCTTTTTGGACGGTTCGGTGGTCGTGTTCGGGCGACTGGCCCGGACAAGAACGACGCAAATTGGCGAAAATATATATTTATATTATAAAAGGGGTCAACAAACACGAACGGGGACGGTAGTGATGGTGTTTAACGTGTTCGGGCATCGGTTAGTACAACTTTCCGACCCACGTCTGCGGCGTATATACAGGGGCATATTATAGATATATATTATAATATTATTGTGTATATGGTCTTTGGGTCCTTCCATTGTGCTTTCGGACGTTTTGCCGAGAATAATTCACACGGTCTCTGCTGCTACTGCTGCTACCGCTCCTATACATGTCATTTACAGTTTTATAAAACAACAAACCGAGGGGCGCAAAGCGAAATTTCATCTAAAGGACGAGGCGATTGAATTACTGCGATTGCGCTTTGATAATAATAATATCACTTTATAATGTACATAATTTTCTTATTATAATTATTGCCTATTGGTTATACTTCGCCTGCGACTTCCACTATTATATAACCACAATATTAGGTGAGACATGCTTTTTGAGCTGTATAATTTTAATCGTTAGTGTTATCTACTTTGATGTTTATCAACCAACTTGTTCTTTTGAAATGGTAATTTGGTTATCTCGATAACATGGTTTACTCCTAGAGTACGTATTCTTAGTTATTTTACAAGAGTTTTAAGAGACTTTGGTGAACTTAACTTTGCAATTAAAATGTTCAAATTGAGTGTGGCTTACAAGTATAGTGTTTTGCTTTGTTTACGCATTGTCAAATATAATTATAATTATATAAATAAATAAATATCCATCCATTATGAGGATACACAATTATGTGGCTATTAAATAATGGACTAACTGTTAGATTTCAACACAATTAAAATGTACTGTTAAATTTTTTCGGGTATAGATGATTTGTATACAAATAAAAGAATCATATCATTTGGAATAAAAATAGTGTTGCGCAGATCATAAAAATGTGTTTCTAAATACCTATTTATGACTGGAATGTAATTATGTAACCAATAAGAAGTCTAAAGAAATAATAAATAATAATTGTTGATATTTTGTTAGGCCTGTATATATATTTGGAAGTTTTAGGGAAAAAAATGAAGGCGTAGTATTACAGTAGTGGAAGAATTAATATAATGTCTATAGTACCTTTTTAAGTTACTACTTATTAAATAAAATAGAGTAACTTTGTAAGTTCAAAATGTATATTAGTCAAATGTTAAATATTTGGGGTGAATATTATCTAATACTATTATATTGGCATATAAATCATATGATATGACATATACTCGTATTTAGTATCGTTTTTTTCTTTGAACAAAAACGATATTTTGCTTTCATAATAATATGGTAAAAACACATATTTCATCGAATGTCACATAACGTCAATTGTAATATCTTATAGATAAAATATTACTTTTTTTTATTGATTACTCAGATATAGCAAAAATACAAAATTATGTAAGCAAAAGTAAATTTGTTGACAAAATTACTAAATTATATTTTTCTGACTCGTCATACTATGCAAAGTCGTTGGATCATAACGTGAATAGTAAAAAAAACGATGAACATTTTGTTGAAAAGAAAAAAAACAGTTAACACCAGGCTAATTTATATAAGACGTAGGTAGTATACGAGAAAAGGTTTGTATACCTACTTCACGTATAATTATTGTGATTTTATAATTTATGGCTTAACTCGTAAAAAACTTTTTTTTTGTATAGTCAATTTGAAAACGTACTTATGTATGTATATATAAATCCACGCTTCACTGTGAATGCCTTTTGCACACGGAGAGACCTACTGCATCACACACGACACACGCATACAGTACGAGTATAATAATATAATTATATGCTTGCAATTATCTTTTCCGTACAATAATAAAAATAAAAATACTCAAAAAAGGGGAAAAAACTTATGTTTATCGTGTACTGCGCGATGAGTCGTAGCGCGTGGAGCCCTTTTCCACGCATTATTTACATGTCGGATTGGTGGTGGTTCGGGAGGGGGGAAGTGTTTCAGGAAATTCGCATATAAAACCTCATGGCGTAAATCGTCGTTATAAGCGGTCGTGTTTGAAGAGGGCAAGGAAATCTACACACACACACACACACACACACACTTACACATACACTTATACAATACATGAACAATATACAGTGCCCTCGTGCACAGATATACGATTTATGCGCAATCGACGGTCGTCCGCGTTGTACGTTATATATACACACACGCGAGCACCTCCTACGCGATGTCCAAAAGTCTGCGGTACGCTCTCGGACACTCCTTTGCAAACGTCCCTTTGCGTGTAACCCGCGGGGACTCGACTCCTGCCGCCGTCGTTGCTGAGGCCCGTGCTGTTTAATTAATAGGATCGTTTATTACACGTATGTATATATACACCATTAAGAGAGTGAGATAGAGAGTGTGAAAGAGAGGGATGGGAGAGAGAGAGAGAAGTATACAGATTACAGAGGGTGAGAGAGGTATAGAAATAGATAGATATCGATCGATCGACAACCACTATCCCCTCTCTTCCGACACCGTAATATAATCATAGGCGTTTTCGATGTTAACATATGCCATGGTTTGTGTATATAACGACTACTTTTTATCATATAGACATATAGTTATTAGTTATTGTACAGTTATATGTACTTATTTACAGAGGTAGGGAGAAGTAGATATAATAAACGTGGGTCACAAATCTGAAATCACAATCGGATCACAATATTCTATCGAACTTTTGAGGGCAATGGACATAAGTCGATTTTCTCTCGGACGATCCATTGGTCTCTAGACGACACTGCAAAGTTGTCATAAATGCATAAAAGTAGAATAAAAATAACTCCATATGGTCAATTTCCGTCTTCAATTTTACTCTTAAAATTCGAGTTAGGTGTGATATACGGTATTAAACAATGTGTAAGTATTTTCGTATAGTTCCAACTTACCAATAAAACTAACATAATATTACTATGTAAACGCTTTTCTAACAAACGTGGTAAAGCGAGAAATAAAACCCCGTAGAAAAGTGATAATTTGAAAAGTTTCTCTATATAATATGTACATATTTACATAACAATAAATTATTATATGTTATCCTATAACAACTACATAGTCTATATAATATATATTATCGCTCTGCCTGAAATCGTCTATTCATTTCGAATGTTATAGTGAAATTTAAATTAACATTACGCGTTAGCAGTAACGGCCTGCACCGTTTATCTTGTTTTCATTTACCGTCTTTCAGTTTTCAGAACGGTTTATTAGATTTACCTATCAAGAGACACTTGTCACGTCTTATCTAGTTGTACACATCTCCCGTATTGTGTACGGTTAAACGAACCGAATTCAATTTAAATTTCAAACCAAAGGTATTGGTGTTAACAATAACGGGCAAATACTTACGTATGTTTACTTTACGCTAGTATATATATATAATTATTTAATACAGTTATATTATATTATATTATATTATATTATATTATATGCATTTGAATTTAAGCACTGTATGCACTATATTGTTCGTGATTATAATATTATATGATATTTACACGTTTGCGCAACAATGTGTATATAGTATGTATACATATTATGTATTATGGAATTGTGATTGTGATCAATATAAAAATAAGAAAAATATTTTCCTCGGTATATAATAATACATTTTATATAACTAATGGTAGGATCCGAATAAAATATTAAAATATTATGCAAAAAAATTGTGACGTATAATAATATTATATAAAACTGTCGTTTGAACATTTTTCGATGGAATACGATCCTGCTATAGAGCTCAATAAATATATTGAAATTAGAATTGTATAATCAAGAAATGCACGCCAAGTCAGTTTTCGTAGGAACGTAGGAGAAAAATCTATTAAATTCATAAATAAATATATACATATGTATAGGTATGTACTATAACACATAAACATTTCAGCGGTAATCGCGCAGTGAAGACTTTATAACCGAGCGACACCGGTGGTTAAAAATGCCTATGTAAACGTGGCATTAAAATCCGCATAGAAAATCCGAGGGAAAAAAATAAAAAATACCGGAAAAAAAGATTACGCCGTTTTATCCCTTAATTCGCGTTAGCAAACACGCAGAGTACGGCGGCGGCACCCTCCCTCACGCGTTCTCCGTCGAGAGTTATACGCGTGACGACGACGCGTATACGTTCCTCTCGATCTTATCTAGTCGCTTCGGAGAAAATGTGCATCGGCGGCGGGAATGAAGAACATAAGAAGAAAAAAAAAATACGAAAAGGCAATCGCATTAATACGCCAAGTACAAACTACTATTTATTACTATTCGGGCGGGCGAGACGCGACCGAGAATGAGACTGCACGTTATATATAAAAATCGTCTGCGCGCACCCACCCCGAGGGCAGTTGTTTATTGCTCTCCGATATAATAATATGTATGTACACTAAGACACGTATGTGTGTGTTTGTAGTCGCGCTTGTGTGTACTTGCCAACCACGCGGGTCGTTCTCTAGCGAAAATCATATGCAAATGGAATATACGCATCCACTTTTAAATCGGCCGTGGTGGCGGTGGTAGGAGAAGAATATAGATGATACGCGCGCTCTCGCCGACCTCGCCGACAATAATAATACACGCGTGCGGTTATGATACCCTTTATCTATATATACGGGCTATATATAATAAATATAAAACTACCCTCTGTAACTGTTACGCACTCGTCGCCGTAGTCGCCGCAGCCCTCCTGCAGACACCACCACCACGCGACGGGGTGACGCTGTCGACCTGCTTCAGCCGTGACAGTCACATCATCACCGCCACCCCCATCCCGATACACAGTCAGTTTTAGATGAAATTATTTCACAATAAGTTATACAGTTTTATGTATAGTGTCGTATGTTTTGAGAGAAATTATAATGTGCTAGAAATCATGCACGAATCCGAAAAAACGAATATTTCAAATTGATTGTTGGGATTTTTAGACACACTTCCATACCAATTCATTATTCCCGTGTTCCTCTCTTAAGAATGCTAAATGTGATGATTCACGAAAACTGATCCCTATTTAGTATTTGACACTTTTTGTCAGCGTAGCGGGACACAGCTCTGCTTTTTGAATACTTGAACACACAGAGTATTTTAAATAAAAATACACTGTGAAACCAATCATTACATTATACAATTATACATATTATAATTATTAGGTAAACAAAAATAATATACTACACAGTGAAAGATCTCCATATAGACTATATAGTTCACTATTGTGAAACATAATTCAATTTAATTTGTTCGATTTGTACCTATATACCACTGAATTACTATGGCGTTAAATAATACTATAAATGAAAAACAGGTAATTTAGGACAATGCTGCGGTGTATAATATTAGGAATCAAAAACTTTAATCAAAGTTCCAATTGAGATTACAATATTTTAGCAGACATTTGCACATTGCGTATCTGATTTTTAGTTTATATCATATAATTAGCTATTTGAATGTCACGTTGTGGTTGTTTGACTCATGTGTAAAAACATAAATATATTTTCTGATCTATGTATTTTTAATAAGATTCTAAAAAATAGATACGTCTATTTACACATACTGGTAGAGCATTTTGAGTTAAAAGACGTGTGTTTGAATAATCATCTGTATCAACGATTTAAATTAAACACAACATAATATTTTATACACGCGAAACCCACTCATAAACGACTCGTCGCTTGTGTTAGTTTGTCTGCGTGCGCGCGCGTGTTATTGGATACAAATTTCCAACGTCGAGTGAGATGGACGTTCTCATAATATTATTAATATACATTTTATATAGTAGGTATTATTTTAATGATCTCTTTGCAATGATAATCGACGCCGCCGAAGAATTTACTTAACATATATTTTTTTAATCAAACGGTTTTGTAGTATTTTAGACCAGCTATTTTTAAAAAAATAATAATATTTACGTTATTCGTAGAAGTTTACATAATATTATATAATAGTATTTGAAAATATGGACATCCAAAAACCAATTATATTTTTAACTGTTGGTGTAAGTATAAAAATTTGGGCCAGATGCAAAAACCAAAACCTATGAAAAAAATACTTGGTATTCTAAAAGTGCTCTTTTTTTTGTTATTGTCTATAATCAACAGAAAATCCCTATGGGCAATAGGGCCACAGCCCACAATGCAGCCTTATTACTTGGATCCCCCTATTTAGACTACTGTGTTTAAAGCATTATTTAAAATAAAATGTTAATACAATTTCTGTACGCTTATCTAAACGTGTATAACTAATTACATATAATATAATATATTATTTGAATACAGTATATAATATAGTTAAATCGAAATGGGATTTTAAACGAACAATCATTGATAGTGTAAATAGATAATCTTTAGTCAATGGTATAATATTTCGATAAAACTACAATATAATGTTATGTCGAATGTCAAAATGATATCCTATTGCGCAGTAAAGTTTTTATGGGACTATTATTGTTGAATAATCGCATTTAAGATTACCATGTTTATCTTCAAATAAATAAATAAAAGTTATCGTGAAAAAAAATCATATGTATTATGATAATATTATATTCAAGCACATGCTTAATTGAAATTGCATTTCAATCTGACGATTTAAGAACGATATTATACAATTTCGTAGTTACAATGTTAAATTTCAAAGTGGAATTGTGATAAAAGATTATTAAGCACAATAACACTGCATACTTACACATTAATCACAATACAAAAATGTGAATATTATAAAATCCAACTAAAATTAATTACTATTTCAGTATAAAAAGTTCAAATATTAATGTTTAAAGCAATAAATAGTTTTAAAATTTTTAGTTCTCACGCATGATAGATATGTTTCATAAATTAAAATTACAAATAATTGTAAAGTCATACAACATAAATTAATATTGATTAACTGCTCAAATATTTTACAACAATATTGTTAGAGTATCGGAATATCGGATTGTATATTACACCATTGCAGTTGACTGTCCACCACTGTTCCGTCGTCAATCGGAGGAGCCGGTGCAGCATTGTATGCTCATGGCTCATCGGTGACACGCGCGAGTTTGTACGCGTGTGTGTGTGTATGTGTGTGTGTGTGTGTGTGTGTGTATGTGTGTGTGTGTGTGTGTGTGGGTTCATTCGGCGGTCCAAACTAGTCGCCGGGCGCGGACGTTCCTTGACATTTATCGACGATACGCATTTAATTTTTTCCTTGTTTTTTTTCTTTACTCATAGTATATTATAATATATACCTATAATACAATTTACTCCAGAGCTAGTAGTTTCACGTCGACCAAATAAAAAAATCTTATAGGTGCACACACACACACACACCACTATAACTTGACAACCACGCGACCGTCGTATTATATATTATATTATAGGTATAATATGTTAAACGTTTGCGGGCGCACGCGCATCTTAATTCCCCAGAATAATCATAAAAATAATAATAATAATACTATATCAGATTGTAATATATTCCGGTATATACCATCGTCGCCGCCACCGCCGAAGGTCGAGTAAAATGTTTTTTTTTCCGTTTAATTTTTTTTTTCTTTTCGCTTTGCACTTTGGAAGTTTGCGCGCGCTCGTAAGGAGATCGCACATACGCGCGTAGATTGTAGGTGTACCTATATATAATACTCGCGATATTATAGTATGGTCGCCGGACATTCTTCGGACGATCGACCGCGGTATCATGTTACCCGGTCGTCGCACAGTGATCACCACGGGGGAATGTGGGTGTCCCGTGTAAAACGCACATAATATAACATCTCGCGATGCCTGTGTGTGTGTTTTTTATTATTATTATTTTTCTCTTTTTTTTTTTTTTTACTTTACGAGAGGAGAAAACAAGGTCGACGACCTTATCCCATGTGGCGGTGGTTATGCAATATAGTCCTGATGGATAAGCCTTATGGTATACCACTGCTGCAGCCACCGCTGCCGCCGCCGCCGCCGCCGCCGCTGCTGCTGCTGTAGTCTTATAGCCGTCGTCGTTTTATAAATAGCGTGCGAGAGCGCTCGCGCGACATCCAGCGGATCGCGGCGCGCTTTGCGCGTGCAGTGCTCGCTTGTTTAATAGTTCGAAAATACCCGACTCCGGTGTCGTAAGTACACCAATGTAGATTTTTATAGCTAACACTAGATTTGCTTCACCTGTAGTCTTAATTGTATTTTGTAACATAGTTTCAATGGTTGAATCCCATGTTATAAAACTGTTGCCCCACACCAAAACACTCAAAATATTTATTATGATTTGTGAAAATAATTTTTTTCTCATCACAATTTTGAAAGAACAAAATACGATATCATCTTGTGTCAAAAGTAAAAAAAAAATAACATTGTAGTTTGAACGATGCAGTGCACGATTATAAACTATTCACTTCGGCGGAGAAAACTATTATCTAGGTACCTATAAACCTACAACGAAAATTATAATTTAGTAGGTACCACCTAAAACTCAAATTAATTTTCTAGTCTCAACTCCGTGCTTGGGCCTGAACGTATATATTATGTTATTCATAGTAATAATATTATTATATCCTCGGCTTGCGCAGATGTTGGTGGCGAATACCCCCCCTTCTAACAACCTATCAAAATTGTCATATTTATATTTGTGATTTTCAGCACAGGACACAGTATAATAATTTAAATAATTGTAAATACATAAATTTCAAAAATCTAAATTTGCGAAAATTCATTATTACAGGAAAAAAAGAATCGATCATGCTTTGTGTGAATCACACAAAAATGTAAGCACCTATGTATACATTATACATGTTCCACAATGGTGGAAGAGGTATATTTTTTTGTCCAGGAAGAATTCTAAAAATCGTGTCTGCTTTAAAATTGTATGTTCATATAGTTCAATGATATCGTATTTTTACTTTTAATCCCATTTCCACGGCTATTGTTCCCAAATTGTACTTACTGTTTTTAATTTTTAGGAATAGGAATATACTGTACATTTTACTGCAGCCAACGTATCGCACGTCTTGATGATATGTTGATAAATTACTTCTAATTCTCATTCCCCCGTGTACGTGTGAACATAACAATATTATTATAATTATAAAATAATATTATAACATTATTGTCATTTGATGAAAAAAACACCGTCCATGGGGCGGCGCAGAGAAATTCCGCAGAATCAGTTTACCGGTTGTCGTCTTCAAACTGGTTAGGTCAGATCTCATACAGATTGGAAAATTAGTATTTCGTCGTTGATATTCAAGAATTTGCGCGAACGAATGCATATACATAATATACGCAAAAACAGTGCTTACAGTGTTCCGAATGGATGAAAAATATTATAAAAATATACGTACTGTCATGTTTTGTTTTGTGTGGCTGTGTTAGGTACACAATATAAAGTTTGCCTGTATAATGTAATACTATTTCTAACTACACTTATCATTCGATGTGAATCACACACGTATTACCTATATATAGAAATAACGTGGGTTATGTCACCGTATGCAACGTTTGACGCATTTGATAGAAAACAAAGATATTATGTGTAATTTAATATTAAATTGAATGACAATGTCCAACGGGACAATAATATAATATACTATAATATATATAGGTATATGTATATCAATAGCTATTTTTTTTTTATGAAATAAAACGCTTCAACCCGCAATGGTTATTGGCGTACAGTTATTTAATTACATTTTTCTCTTTTTTTTTTTTAAAAAACAATATTTTTTTGATATTTTACTAAATTAAATTGAGTTATACAATTCTGAAAAAAAAGATTAAAATTTTGGTGTTTGCTTCTTCGCCAGGTGTCAGGATTGCGAACAATAGCTTATTGTTTTACTACCTACCTACTTATCCCATTCAGTTGCAATAATTATAAGTTATACGATTTGATATGTTTTCACTTAAGACAAACAATTCATATAATTTAGACACAACGATTACCTACTTAGTATTTTCAAACTAAAAACCAATCAAATTGATCTCATACTCTTTTCAGTCTACTGTAAGTGATGCAAGAATTCATTCCAAACATTTCAATTACGATAGGCTTTATGCAATCGATTAAAAATGCAATTGATTGGTATCAATTGTACAAGTGATCATTTATTTATTCTTTATTTATTTGTATATAATTAGATAGGTAGCTATAATCATTGAATTTGGAGTATAACGTTAAATATAAATTATTGGTTGTGAATTTTTAATTTCTCAAATAAACGAAGTGATTTTGAAAGTGTTTTGTGCTATGAAGTGTAAGCTAACAAAACTTATAGGGGTTAGATCATTTTCAGAAGTAGCCAGTAGGTAATGTGACGTACTTACGTTAGGTCTAAAATAT